TGAAATTTGATTATGTTACATGATAAAAACAGTATAGTTCTACTGAACAAACAGTGTAATATGATCAAATTTGATTATGTTACATGATAAAAACAGTATAGTTCCATTAAACAAATACAGTGTAATCTGGTAAAAACCACTTACCTGTTCCTAAAGTTAAAGTTCTGTATGGCATTGGGACAGTCGGTCCTCTGTAGACAGGACACATAACAGCTCTGGCTCTAACATCTGCAGACTCTGAAAATATGAACAAGACATATATATACTGTACTTCAGTTGTGGGTGAACTCAGTTCAGTCACTTATCATTTAATGATCAAAGAGTTTTCCCACTCCAGCTCTCTTGTTGGAAACAAATCTTGGCTATCCAAACAGTACATTCCAATTTATTATATATAGTAACTTGGACAGAATCTCTTCCAATTAAGGTTAGTTTACTCAATTCTTTTCTTATCCCTAATCTACTGATCTATTTGAAACAACAACATTAGTTGGAGTTACAACTTATGCTGATAAAACAACAAATCTAGTAATTTTCTGTCAAAGAATAAAGTTGGCGTTTACAAAAACATTTTTTAAATTCCTAATTTGAAAACTTAAAAAATATATTTTAAATAGAAGGGTTTCAAAAGTATCTAAACACTTTAGAAAATGAACAAGAAGTTCACTTTTTTAAAGTTTACTGGTTATGTTATATTTAGTTAATTTAGAAGAGGTGTCAAATGTCATAAAACTTCCTGTTTTCACAATAACAATGATCATTACTGCTTATGGTTGTGTAGTATTACAGTAATAACAAAAAGCATGTCACAGATGTATTAAGACAATAAGAAAACAGATAATCATTACTATTCATGGCTACAAGTTAACATGTACAATAATTTCAGCATAATTAGAGATTTTACCATCTCAAATATAAGACTGAGTGCATTATATTAAAATGCTTTTGAATATGCAAATCAGCAAATCACAGCCAGTATAAAGTCATGGAGGAATGGGATGTATAAGAACTACATTTGACAGCCATTTCCTGTGAAAAATTTTCATATGTTAAGATCATAAAGATGTGTTGAGATCAGACTTAGAAACTGCAAAATGTGGATACATCTTGTAGTTAATGGCATTGGAGAACAAAGGAATATGGATCAACTTGGGATAGCAGAACCATCAAGAAAGAGACTGCAACAAGTCACATCCTAGCCATGATATCCAAGGTATAGCATATTGTAACAGGTGAGAATCCATCACAAAAGTCAGTGGCAAAAGCCATTCATGTACACAATGCAACAAGAAGGATGTTTGTTTGGAAACAAAGCCAACGGGGTATGAGTTGACCAAAATAAAGCTGCCACTCACATCTCCTGTTCAATTGTTGCATACCTCAAGCAGCTGGAGAATGAAGCAGGTATTCATACTATTCCATATGAAGACATACTGGTCAAAGTGCCAGATGCAGCATCAATGGACTTTTAGATAATTGGATGGCTGCTGGAAAACCATTGTTCTTGTAAACTAGATAGATTATGGCATGCAGCAGAGAGGAGTGATGTGCTTTGAACATGATTATCTTATAGCAGAGCCCGTCACAGTGGAAACTACTCTGCAGGTATTGTCAAGATGCATAATCATCAGATAAAGCATAACTGAAACACAGCAACGTGGCTGTAAGGACATTCTAAGGCTCAAGATTGTTTTAATATAATGTACTCAATCCTCTGTATTACCCTGAATAATTGTAAGTACTGCTATTAAAGCACTATTTTCCTGAAAACAGAACCAAGTACCTATTGTTGAGTTTGGTTTCTTGGTTATCGAAGCTTGGGGTACCAGCTGCTGTAGTCTCTGCCATGCCAGCATTCTGATCAGTTTTCCATCAAGAAAATCCACTTCTGTGTAAACAAAACTCAAAATGTACCACTTTCCATTCACATTTTACACCTAGTATTTATCTTCAAACAAAATTTTACAAATAGGGGAAAATGGTAAATGAAAGATAAGAATTATTATACTCTTACAGTCATACATCTAAACTAATTCTATAATTTTTTTAAAGCTTTCATGACTAATGAAAAGAACTAAAGTATACATTACTCACCAAGATATAAAATTACGTTTATATTATACCACTTACATGAAAAACATGTTACTTAGATGTACCTAAATACATGCAAGTCACAAAATATAGTAAGATAAATAATGTATATACTGAAACAGTATTATGTTATTTTATATTGAAATAGCAATGTAACAAATGTTATATCAAATTAAATCAGTGATTATCAAACAAGTTTTACAGTTTGGTGCATCACGTCTCACAAATTGTACATGGGTGTTAAGGGTAGCATACAGATGCAAATGCCACAGTAGTTAGTCACATGTTGCCACTGGCATTACTTTTGTATGATTCACATGGGTATAAATGGGTTCGTGGATCACAGCATGGCTCGTTCTTCCAACGTGAGACTGACAAGGGTGCAGAGAGGTTAACTAGTGAAATGTTATTACATTAAAGGATACAGCTTTCAGGGAATACTACAGAGTACATAACGTCCACAGAGGGTCTTGTTCCAGTGGTTGCTGTGTAGGTTCATGAAAATTTGAGGAGACAGGTTATACAGGCAGACCACCAACACATATGGAAACTATCACCGAGGTCGATCATGCCATAGCAGAACAAGCCAGCACAAGTGCAGAAGTGTATGTTATATCATCCGGTGTTTAGATTTACCAACTTCAACTGATTGTAAGGCTCTTTGGTTAACTTTGCAAATGTTTTCTAAAAAACTGCATCATTTTCAAGCAGTGAATGATTTAACCTGATGTACTGCTGTTTTAGGCAAGACTGGAAATCAATGGTCAATGGCCTGCCAGTATCTTATGGACTGATGAAGTACACTTCACCATTTTGATGGTCAACAGTATCTTATGGACTGATGAAGTACACTTCACCATTTTGATGGTCAACGGCCAGCTGGTATCTTATGGACTGATGAAGTACACTTCATCATTTTGATGGTCAATGGCCTACCAGTATCTTATGGACTGATGAAGTACACTCACCATTTTGATGGTCAACAGCCTGCCAGTATCTTATGGACTGATGAAGTACACTTCACCATTTTGATGGTCAACAGCCTGCCAGTATCTTATGGACTGGTGAAGTACACTTCACCATTTTGATGGTCAACGGCCTGCCAGTATCTTACGGACTGATGAAGTACACTTCACCATTTTGATGGTCAACGGCCAGCTGGTATCTTATGGACTGATGAAGTACACTTCACCATTCTGATGGTGAACGACCTGCCAGTATCTTACGGACTGGTGAAGTACACTTCACAATTTTGATGGTCAACGGCCTGCTGGTATCTTACGGACTGATGAAGTACACTTCATCATTTTGATGGTCAACGGCCTGCCGGTATCTTATGGACTGGTGAAGTACACTTCACCATTTTGATGGTCAACGGCCAGCTGGTATCTTATGGACTGATGAAGTACACTTCACCATTCTGATGGTCAACGGCCTGCCAGTATCTTATGGACTGGTGAAGTACACTTCA